GCCTCTTCCAAGCCTCGGACCCCCTTCATGCCCCTCCCTCCATCATTTGTGCTGTCATCAGCCCATGTCACTCGTACAAGTTGTCCATTCTCAGGGTTTTCGAGGAGTTTGCACGTGCACATACCTTCCTACGTGCGCACGCAGACACACACACACACACACACTCACACACACTCACACGCCAGGAACCACGAGACCCCTGGGATGACATGAGCAAGTCGGCCGTGAGCAAGTAGGAGCCTGGAAGGCAGGCTGAGGAGCCCACGTGGCCGGAGGAAGAGAAGGAGAAGAAGGCGGGGCTTGCTAGCTCGCTCTGTTCAGGGGGACGAATCTCTCTCTCTTATGCCTCAGTTTCCACTTCTGCAAAATGGGTAGGCTATTCGCCCGTAGCTCGGAGGGCTGTTGCAACAATCCTATGGACTGCTAAGTGCACGGGACCTACACAGAGTAGCCATGTGCGTTGCTGTTTTGCCCCAAAGCTAAACGCTGAACCCTCGCAGGCCATCATGCACACGTTGATGGAGCGTGTGGACCGTGGGCCCGGCCCTGGCTGGGTCCCTGAGCGGGAGGCCTGGCGGGGCCTTACCTCGTTTATGTTGAGATGAATGAACTCCTTGTTCTTCGTGCTGAGAGCCTGGAACACGCCTGATGGGAGAGAGACCGGAGAAAGGCATCCTTGCGGGGTCGGGTCCTTCAACAGGCTGAGTGCACCGCCCCTACCCCCAAGCCTGCAAGGGAGCTGCTCCCCCTGGCGGTGAGCACGGGTATTACACAGGCCTGACTCCCCCTGATGGGATTTCTTTCTCTTAAGGGGTTAGAGGACGCCTCCTGGATTCAGGTGACTCTGGCCTCCGCCCCGGGTGGCACGTGTTGTCATCGACAATATCCAGCTGGCTCCTGGGCCCCAAACATCCCCTGATCCTAGCTGTTTGGGGGCCAAGACCCCTGGCAACCCATTGCCCCCCCCCCCCAGGGTGAAAGCGCAGGCACAAGGGGTTTTGCGTGAGTTTTGAAAGCCTGAGTCCCTTATCAGAGGGGAGCCCTGTGGGTGCTCCCAGGCGGGGGAGGAGCCGGGCACTACGTCTCCCAAGCACCCAAGAGAGTGGCTGTGCTCTCTGCCTGTTTCCCTCTTCGTCCCCGTGGTCCAGCCGGTCGCCCCGGCTGCCCCAACAGCCACCTGGGACCTCGAGAAATACGACAGAAGGCCGGCCGGCCTGGCTCGGTGGCTGAGCGTTGACCCATGAACCAGGAGGTCCCGGTCTTGGCCCCACTTTTCGGCAGGCTGTCTGCCCCTGGTCCCGGGAGGAGGACACGCGGGGGACATGACACTCACGGCTGGCGTTCTCCAGCCGGACCAGGCAGTTGAGGAAGTCATCGAAGCCCAGCTGCAGGTCCTGGTCGGCGTAGCGGAGCACCACCAGCTGCAGGAGGTGGCGGCTCAGCTGGAAGCCTGGGGGACGGGCGGGCAGGAGACGCGCTGAGTCCGAGGGCTGGCAGCTGAGGGGGCTGCTGACCCCCTCCACCAGCCCCCCCTCAGCCCGCACCCACACGCCAGGCCCTCCCTCACCTGCGGCTCTCAGCGCGGTCCGCAGCTCATAGGAGGACATGGTGCCGGACTTGTCAGCATCGAACCGAAGGAAAAGGTTCTGAGAGGGGGGGACACAGGCCGTGAGGACCACAGAGCCCCCGACGGCGCCTTCGATGGCACTAACGGGGCCGGGAAGGGCGATTCCTTACAAGAGCAGGAGGCAGCGGCTGGGGGGCCTCCAGAGGAAGGCGGCCCTGCTTCTCCCTTGTCATTTGGGCAGCTGCACTGAGCTGCTGCTTTAACCCCGGAAGCAAGTGCTGGGGTCCCATCCTGGGTCCCTGCCTTTGCCCTCTGAGCACAAACCCCCGGCCAGCTGCATCCGGCCTTTTAAAACCCCCTCTGACCTGGCCGGCGTGGCTCAGTGGGTGAGTGCCGACCTGTGAACCAGGAGGTCAGGGTTTGATTCCCGGTCAGGGCACATGCCCGGGTTGTGGGCTCCATCCCCAGTGCAGGGCGTGCAGGAGGCAGCCGATCCATGATTCTCTCTCACCATTGATGTTTCTCTCCCTCTCCCTCTCCCTTCCTCTCTGAAACCATAAAAATATATTAAAAATATAGAGGCCCCTCTGCTATGGGTTTGCAGGGCAACCAGAGGCCACACGCGCCCCAGGGTACATACCGTCCACGTCTTCAGTTTCTCCCAGAACACTTTGAATTCATCGAACTCCAGCTTCCCGTTGCCACTGGTCTGTGCCGAGCGCGTGAAGGAAAACACGAGTGTGTTTCCCCTGGGGCTCCTCGGGGGACCTCCCGCCTGGGGCTACAGTGGGGAGGGGCAGTGGCCTGGAGTGGGTGACCTGGGGGACACAGATTCTCGGCTTCGAGGGAGGTGGTTTCTATCTCTCGTTCCCTCTCCCTTCCTCTCTGAAATCAATGAAAATATTTTTTTTAAAAAAGAAAAAAGACAGCCCTGCAAGTACGGGCCACCTTCTAGAAAGGTCTGCCCCGTACAGGGAGCTTAGCATCTACTCCTGCCCGTGTGCTGGGGAGGATACGTCCATTAGAGAAATGATGTTCTTACAGGAAATCAGGCTCAGCTTCTCGAATCGAATGCCCTTTTCTGAAATCACACAGGGAGCAGGACTCAGGTCTCCCGGAGCCCGGCCGCGGGGTCAGCTCTGGGGCCGGGGCCGGGGTGATGTGTTCCCCCTCTGAGGAGGCTGCTGGGAGAGGTAGACATGGCCTTGCGGGAGGAACATTTGCAAAAGATGGAAAAAGCCTTCAAAATGGAACTATCCTTTCAGCCATTGATTCTAGGTTTAAGAATCAGAAGGAAAGTGTTACCAATACGGACTTTTCTCATCGCCCCGGCTGGTGTGGCTCAGGGGATAGAGCGTCGGCCTGGAGACTGAAGGGTCCCGGGTTCGATCCTGGTCAAGGGCACATGCCTGGGTGATGGGCTCCATCCCCAGGAGGGGGCGTGCAGGAGGCAGCCGATCCACGATTCTCTCTCATCATTGATGTTTCTCTCTCTCTCTCCCTCTCCCTTCCTCTCTGAAATCAATAGAAATATATTAAAAAACAACAAAAAAACCTTTTTTTTTCAAGGGACAGACGGGTGCGGGACCCTCACAGGCCCAGGCGTGCCTCCCCCGCCCCTGCGGCCGCTCACTTCTCGGGGCTGCGACCCAACCCGGAAAGCCGGAGGGAACTGGGCCAGGCTGGGTGCTTCCCGGGCCCTGAGCTAGGCTCCCATGGCCGCTTATGCTGGGGACGTGTGGCCGGAGCCCCCTGCCCTGCACAGCAGCAGCACCCCAAGCTTTGAAATGTCCACACGGGGGTGGGGGGACACTGTTTCAATCAGGAGACCGGGACAGGGACAGGGACACCCCAGGGCCCCCAACAAGTACAGAGGGTGACAGAGGGTGGGAATGGGGTCAAAGGGCAAAGGGACAGGCCCTCTTCTTCCCCCCGGGCCCCAGGCAGAGCCCTGGTGCGAAGGGACAACATGCAGATAAGTGTTAAAGTGAACCATGGCCGGTGGTGCAGGAGGGGCGGTGGGTGGGGAGGCCATCTGCGGGGCTCTCGGGGACCAGGGCTGGTCTCACTGTGCCCCACTAGGCCTGGGATTTCACTCCTGGGCATACTCTGGGAAGTAGAGGTGACAAACGTCCCTGTTGCTGTATCCCTGGGTTGGGGGCATCACAGACACCCAGGCCTGGGCAGCCATAGCCACAACTCACCTCCCCAGCGATGCGTTCAAACAGGGCCCTGAACTGCTGCTCCTCCTCCGTCTCCTGGTCCCGCGGCGTCGGCTTCGGGGGCTGGAAACGAACCAGAGGAACTCATATTGGAGCCACACAAAGGACGCTGGCATTTGCTTTCCCATAGAAGCAGCAGGAGCCCGGCCGGTGTGGCTCAGTGGTTGGGTCTCAATCTAGGAACCAGGAGGTCGGGGTTTGATTCCCGGTCAGGGCACGTGCTGGTGTGGGCCGAGCTCAATCCCCAGTGTGGGATGTGCAGGAGGCGGCCAATCCATGATTCTCTCTCATCATTGATGTTTCTCTCTCTCTCCCTCTCCCTCTCACTTCCTCTCTGAAATTATTAAAAAATATATATATTTTTTAAAAGGCAGAGTCCTCTGCTCCAGGAGCTTAGGATCAATAGAGTCAATGCAATTCAATGGTTTCTGTTGTGTTCTCAGAGGCGGGCAACCATCACCAGTCTATTTTATTTTATTATTTTATTTTATTTTTAATATATATCTGTATAGATTTCAAAGAGGAAGGGAGAGGGAAGATGGAAACCAGCAATGATGAGAGAATCATGGATCGGCTGCCTCCTGCACACCCCCTACTGGGGGT